CCGTCTATCCATGTATTCATCAGCCACCTATCATCCATCTGTCTACTCACAAATCCATCCCTCAATCCATCCACCCATCCAGCCAGCCACCATGCATCTATCTACCCATCCATCCATCTATTCACCCATCCATCCATCCATCCATCCATCCATCCATCCATCCATCCATCCATCCATCTAAATCCACCTACCTACCCCTCTATCCATGTATTCATCAGCCACCCATCCAGTCAGCCACCCATTCGTCCATCTACCCATCCATCCATCAATCCACCCATCCATCCTTCAATTTATCCATCGATACATCAGCCACCCATCCATCCATCCACCTACCCATCTATCCACCCATCCATCCATTCATCCATCCACTTACCCCTCTATCCATTCATCTGTCAGCTACCCATCCATCCACCTATCCATTCATCCATCCATCCATCTGACACCCACCCATGGATCTATCAGCCACCCATCCATCCACCCATGTATTCATCTACCCACCCCTGTATTCATCCATTCATTGGCTACCCATGCATTCACCTACTCACTCATCTACCCATCCATTCATCCACTCACTCATCCGTCCATTCACTCACCTACCCATACACCCATCCATTCATCCATTCACCCACCCATCTATCCACCCATCTTTCCATCTACCCATCCATATATCCTTCCATTCATTTATTCATCCATCCATCCATGCAAAGTAGATCACTATGATCAAAGCTTAGTCTTCCAATCATGACCAAAGAAATCAAATGTTAATCACAAGAATGGCCACCCCAGGGAGTATACATTCAGAAAAAAGGTATCTAAGCATCTAGAATCTCTGTGTGAGAGTTTGTATAGACCAAAGACTCCATGATCTCACCAACACGTCGTGGAAGGAAGCCTGCTCTGGGCATGGGATGCAGGAGGCATTAGTAGGAAGGGGAGGCCAGGGGCTCCGGTCAGCAAGCTCACTTCGGCTCTTGGCCTGAGTTAATGGGCTGAGTGTATCATCCAGCCAGGAATCTACTTACGTGGCTCCCTTCTCTCCCTGCCTTGTGAGCAGCAAGCACTGTGCCCTTCACGGTGCCTACCATGGCCCTGCCTGGGCTTCCAGCCTCAAGGGCCCTCTGTTCCCCAAGCCAGCTGAGCTGTGGCAGCGGGGAGTGTCTGTCTTCTGAGCGGCGCTGTGACCTGCGGCCTGACTGCCAGGACGGCTCGGATGAGGATGGCTGTGGTATGTGCCAGCAAGGGCAGGGGCAGCCCTGAGGGCCCCCTCCTGCATGAGTCCCTCTGAGCCCCAACCCCCATTCCCCTGCAGTGGACTGTGTGCTGGCCCCCTGGTCTGTCTGGAGCAGCTGCAGCCGCAGCTGTGGCCTGGGCCTCACCTTCCAGCGCCAGGAGCTGCTGCGGCCTCCTCTGCCAGGGGGCAGCTGCCCACCTGACCGGTTCCGAAGCCAGTCCTGCTTCGTGCAGGCCTGCCCAGGTAACCCTGCACCCCAGCCTTCCCTCAGGAAAGCCCCTGCTCCCAGAGGGAAGTGGGGAAGCCCCCCATCCAGTCTCCTCAGGAACCTTCAGGTGGGAAACCTGGGGTGGGTTTCCACCTGAGACCCTCCCAGCCAGCCCTGCCCCCCTTTCCTGCCTGAGCCGAGACTCAGGTTCTTGTGTATAGCCTGGAAATAATGGTCATTCCTGCCTCAGAAGGCACTGCAAGGATTAAGGGAGAGGACGTGTGGGGGTGTTTGGAGCCAGGCCTCAGGTGTCAGCCAGCTGTGCCACTTGTCCCTGGGTGCCATGCTGAAGGCCTTGTCGCTCCTTTATTCCATCAATCCAAGGGAGTGGCCCTCACCCACTTCTATGCATGGCAGAGAGGGGCTCCCCATACAGGGGCCTCTTCAGCCCCACCCTGGCTCCTCCCTGGTTGTGATGGCCCTACAGCTGCCATCAGGGCAGCTCTCCCCAGGATTCCCGCAGTCCCAGCCCCTTCCCGGGGAGCAGAGCTTTTGTCCTGGGAGGCACCTAGAGCCCTTTCTCCAGGCACCTGCCACCTAGGGGAGGTTTTCTGGGACAGAAGAGGAGCTGTGGAGTGCCCGGGGCAGGGCCCTTGGCTGCCTTGCTGGCCACTGCCCAGGCTGGGGAAGGAGGGGAGCCCTGGCTCCGGCTACTCTCTCATAGCCTGTGTCTCCTGGGCCCCTCCTGATGGTCTTCCTTCCCCAACAGTGGCTGGGGCATGGGCCATGTGGGAGGCCTGGGGGCCCTGCAGTGTCTCCTGTGGGGGTGGCCATCAGAGTCGCCGGAGAAGCTGTATGGACCCCCCACCCAAGAATAATGGTGCCCCCTGCCCCGGGCCCTCCCAAGAGAGGGTACCCTGCGGCTTGCAGCCCTGCTCAGGTGGCACAGGTAAGGGTGAGCTGGGCTGGGAGCAGGGAGAGAGCACTGTGGGCATGAGGTAGTTGGACCTCTCAGCACTCAGGCTCACCTAGTGCCCATCTTCCACCAGACTGCGAGCTGGGCCGTGTGTATGTGAGTGCTGATCTGTGCCAGAAGGGGCTAGTGCCCCCGTGCCCACCCTCCTGCCTGGATCCCAAGGCTAACAGAAGCTGCAGTGGGCATTGCGTGGAAGGTGAGGCAGACCTGGCCTGCAGGGAGACTGTGGGGTGCCCACCCAGGCCCACCAGCCCCCAGTCTCCAGCTTCCCCTCACTGCTGTGCCCCTTGGGGCTGAGTGCCCTCTTCCACACACACCCAGGATGCCGCTGTCCCCCGGGACTCCTTCTGCATGACACTCGCTGCCTGCCCCTCTCTGAGTGCCCCTGCCTGGTGGGCGAAGAGCTGAAGTGGCCGGGGGTGTCCTTCGTCCTGGCCAACTGCAGCCAATGGTGAGGGCGGCCGCGCCAGGGAGGGCACTGTGCCGGGGTCTCCCCAGCCCTGACCAGTTCCTCAGCCTCTCCCTCCCCTGCAGTGTGTGTGAGAAGGGGGAGTTGCTGTGCCAACCAGGGGGCTGCCCCCTGCCCTGCGGCTGGTCAGCCTGGTCCTCCTGGGCTCCCTGCGACCGCTCCTGTGGCTCTGGAGTGAGGGCCAGGTTCAGGTGTGTGGCAGCGGGTGGGCGGCAGTGTGAGAAGGAATGGTGGGGGCCAGGGAGGCAAGGAGCCAGGCTAGCCCTGAGGGGGCGGTAGGGGGAAGATGGTGGACAGGTGATGAAGGATGAAGAAGGCAGGATTGAGGGCAGGGAGAGAGCAGAGCAGGTGCTGAGGGCTGCCTCTCTCCCCAGGTCTCCCTCCAACCCTCCGGCAGCCTGGGGAGGCGCCCCCTGTGAAGGTGACAGGCAGGAACTGCAGAGCTGCCACACAGAGTGTGGGACAGGTATAGCCGGGAGCCTGGATGCAGGAGCCCCCTCTTCCTCCTCCCAATTCTGTACCCTGGGAACACACAGGATGGGACCCACTGGCCACTCTATGTGGGGGATCGGTAACGCCTCTGCAGTCTGAGAGGCAGCCCTTGAACTGGCCTTGGTGGAGGGGCTTTGATAGGGAGAGGCAGAGACTCCCGCCCAGACTGCCCAGGCGCCAGGAGCAGGCTGGCCTGGGTGGAGCAGGCGACTGCAGAGCTGGGCGAGAGAGGTGAGGCCGAGGGTTTGAGGGAGGCCAGCAGCAGCATTTAGAGGCCAGGTGAAGGTGCCAGATGGTTTCTCTCTTTCCACCCACCGGGTGCCCCTCAGACAGTGCCTGTGTCAATGGAGGTCTCTGCAGAGCAGACCCAGCCTCACTGGTGTGCAGGGCAATGGGATGAGGTGGGCAAGGGGAAAAAGAGGAGTCGGGGAGGGGAGGGGGAAGAGAGGCAGGGCGCATCTGGGGTCTGGGCCAGGATCTTTGCAGTAGGAGGGAAAGAGGGGCCAGTGGGGAGTGGCTGGTGGGACATTGACTGTGTCCACAGGGACTCTTAATTAGTTTCTGGCATAGAAGGATCAGGAAGCGTTGATCTGGGGGAAACATGAGGATTTTTGGTGGTCCTTCCTGCTGAGGTGCTGTCCGAGTCTAGGAGAGAGATGTGGGAATGTAGTCGAGCCCAGGTTCACAGGAGGCACCGTGCCTGGCTCTGAGGGTGAGAAGTGGGGCTGGAGGCCGGGTGCGGTGGCCCACGCCTGTAATTCCGGCACCTTGGGAGGCCAAGGTGGGAGGATTGCTTGAGGCCAGGAGTTCAAGACCAGCCTGGGTAACAGAGAGAGACCCCATCTCTAAAAAATATTAAAAAATAAAAAATGTAGCTGGCCGTGGTGGCGCAGGTCCGTGGTCCCAGCTCCTCGGGAGGCTGAGATGGGAGATCACGTGAGCTTAGGAGGTAGAGGCTGCAGCAAGCGATAAGCATGCCCACTGCACTCCAGCTGACAGGTCCTGTCCTCAACCCCCCAAAACAGAAAAAAGGACTGGAGGGGGGTGGTCCCAGCAAGTGAGCTGAGAAGGGGCAGAGGCTGCACCCTGAGCCCAGAGCAGCCTCCCTCCTTGTGAGCCCTCTTCTGCCCACCTAGTTTCTCAGACCTAACCCAGGCTCCCCGACCCTCCCCAGCCCTGCCAGAAAAGGCCTTTGCACAAATGGCCTGTCCTGTTCACCCTCCGCAGAGGTGCTGGGCTGGACGCCCTGGACTTCCTGGTCCTCCTGCTCCCAGAGCTGCCTTGTCCCCGGAGGGGGCCCTGGCTGGCGCAGTCGTTCCCGACTCTGCCCCAGCCCTGGGGATTCCTCCTGCCCAGGAGAGGCCACCCAGGAGGAGCCCTGCAGCCCCCCTGTATGCCCAGGTACTCCCCCTCAGGCTCAGGTGTGGCTCGGACACTGGGGTGGGATGAGAAGCAAAGAAGAATGCCCCCTTGAGCCGGTTCTAGACACCTGGAGGGGGGGCCAAGGGTTGGAGCAAACCTGGCTGTTGTCCTTAAGCCTCTCCCACCCCAGCCATCACCCAGGAAGCCAGCCTGAGTGGTAGATGTTGGTGGGAGCTAGAGGCTGCAGTTAAGACTCTGCAAGCTACACAGCTCCAGCCCCACAATGCCCTGCCCTGGACTGTCTTTGCCGTGCCGGTGTCTGTGACTCTGGATTGGGCTCTTCCTGGCAGTGCCAAGCATCTGGGGTCTGTGGGCTCCCTGGTCCACTTGCTCAGCCCCCTGTGACGGAGGCATCCAGACACGTGGGCGCAGCTGCTCCAGCTTGGCTCCTGGGGACACCTCGTGCCCAGGACCCCACAGTCAGACCAGGGACTGCAACACGCAGCCCTGCACAGGTACCAGACTCTCTGCCTGTTTTGCAGCGGGCCTCCCTGGCCCAGCTCCTGGGGATTTTGACCTTTTCCCCACCCTCACCTTTGCCCATCACTGTCCTCTGACTCCAGGCCAGGTAATGCCTGGAGCTAACGGAGCCTGGGATTTCCTGTGTCTCTTCTAGCTCCCTGCCTCTCCCACCTGCCTGGGACCAGGTCCCAGCAGCTGTAGCCCCTCAGCCCTTTGCTCTTCTTTGGTGGAGGCAAGCCTCCTTCCCCAGAGAACAGGCTCCCCGAGGGAGTCAGACTGGCCTTCCTCTGGGCAGAACACTCACGGCCAGAATCGTGGGGGAGCAGAGCTCGTACTTTGAAGCCCCTGGCCCCTTCCTTACTCTCTCTCGTCCTCTGAGTGCTCCTTCTATCCCAGATGACTAGAGTCCTTGTGGTCTGTTTTCAAGAATATTTGTATTAAAATGGAGCAAAGCCGTGACTGTGTACTGGTGCCATCTCAGACACTGGAGCAAAGCTGTGAGGGTAGGGGCAGGAGGCGTGGCTTCTTTAGCACACTATTGCCTGGCAGGCTGCCGCCCCATGCCCTGCTTGCAGGTTCCGTTCCGCCCCTCTGCCTCCTTTCCCTTCCCATCCCTTCCCATCCCTCCTGCCCCTGCTGAGACCTGCTTTGTCTTCCTATCCAGCCCAGTGCCCAGAGAACATGGTGTTCCGCTCAGCAGAGCAGTGTCGCCAGGAGGGGGGTCCTTGCCCTCGGCTGTGCCTGACGCACGGCCCTGGGATAGAGTGTTCGGGCTTCTGCGCCCCTGGCTGCACCTGCCCCCCTGGTCTCTTCCTGCACAATGCTAGCTGCCTGCCCCGCAGTCAGTGCCCCTGCCAGCTGCACGGGCAGCTCTATGCACCAGGAGCAATGGCTCGCCTGGATTCCTGCAACAACTGGTGGGTCATAGCATCGGCGCAGGGTGGGAGAGGGGCCGGGGATCTAGGGGTGGGCAGGCTTGGGCTCCCTCCCACAAACACTCCCTGTGGTGGGGTGCTCCGTTCCCCAAACACAACACAGCAGCCACGGGTGCCAGGCAGGGTCCTGGGAATACTAGAGCGAGTGGTCATCCCCATTTGACTTATGGGAAGATTGGGTCTCAGATCGATGGAGCGATTTGTGGTAGAACTAGAGATGGGAGGGTGTCTAACCTCTCATCACAGCTTTCTCTGGTTCTCTTTCCTGAATATAATTTCATACCTGGGATCCACTTGATTTCTGTTCAGAAACATTCAAGTGCCCACCAAGCTGACATCAGGACCTGCCAGCAGAGGGTGCTCAAGCCATTTCCCTCTTTTTTCTTTTTCTTTCACTTCGTTTCTTTTTTTTTTTTTTTTTTTGAGATGGAGTCTTGCTCTGTCGCCCAGGCTGGAGTGCAGTGGTGCGATCTCAGCTCATTGCAACCTCTGCCTCTCAGCTCACTGCAACCTCCACCCCCCGGGTTCAAGCAATTCTCCTGCCTCAGCCTCCCTAGTAGCTGGGATTACAGGCACCTACTGCCATGCCAGGCTAATTTTTGTATTTTCAGTAGAGACAGGGTTTCACCATTTGGCCAGGCTGGTCTCCAACTCCTGACCTCAAGTGATCCACCTGCCTCAGCCTCCCAAAGTGCTCGGATTACAGGCATGAGCCACTGCACCCGGGCCATTCTTCATTTCCCTCTTACTTTTTACTTTATATACCCTGCCCCTCCTTCGATTTCCTCCTCCTTCATTCTTCTTCCCTCCTGTCCTTTCTTTCTCACTTTTTGTCTCTCTGATCTTTTTCTGGGACGTCCAGTATTTGATAAATAGGCTTTAAAACATGTATTGGGGAGAACAGCAAGTGTGGAGAAGTACCCAGTTCTCCCTCCTAGAAGAACTCCAGCTCTCTCTAAATCCCTCCTCCCTGCCCCCGGCCCTCGAGGTCATTTCCCAATAAATACAAATGGATGAGACCTTGGGACAAAGGATAGCACAGAGCTTGGGTGTTGTGGGGCTCACTGAGGGTGCATCGTGAACGTCACAGAGGGCGTGGGCAGCAGGCTTCACACCCCAGACCCTCGGGTTTCTCTTCTGCAGTGGCCTCAGCTGCTTCCCCGGGGGTAAGGGCTGAGTGTGGCCGTGATGGCCAGGTAGAGCCTTACTGCCACCTCTCTCTGCAGCACCTGTGTCTCCGGGGAGATGGCATGCACCTCGGAGCACTGCCCAGGTACCCCCATGCTTGGGGCACAGGAATTGGGCAGTGGTGGGTCCTCAGGGACCATAGGGGAGTTAGGCCCCTTCTGAGATAAACGCCTGGGAGCTTGGTGGTCCCCAGGGAAGTTAGGGTATGAAAAGACTGACCTGGTTTCACACACACTGCCCTCTGCCCCCAACACGCCCTGGCAGTGGCCTGTGGCTGGAGTCCCTGGACCCCGTGGAGTCTCTGTAGCCGCAGCTGCAACGTGGGCATTCGGCGCCGTTTCCGGGCAGGCACTGCACCCCCAGCTGCCTTTGGGGGTGCTGAGTGCCAAGGCCCCACCATGGAGGCTGAATTCTGCAGCCTGCGGCCATGCCGAGGTGAGAGCTAGGACTGAGGTCCTGAGACCTCCTTAAAGAACCTTCCAGAGAGAAGCCAAGAAGACTCCCATCACCCCCCACCCTGAACCTCCAGAGAAGTGCAAGAGACTTCGTTAAGAGATGCCACTAAGAGGTTGTCCCCAGAGACTCCTTGAGGGTCTGTTCCCTAACAGGGCCCCTCCTCAGAGTAGCCCCGGCTTCTCTCTAGAGACCAGCCCAGTTCTAGGCCGAATACTGGAGCCCCTCAAGCAGGTGTGAGGCACCTTAGGTAGGATATGACACTACAGGTGAAGCGGTGGAGGGATGCCAGGGGTGTCTGGGTGGGAGGAGGAGAAGGTGAGGTGGGCACGAGAGGCAGGGCCTGTGGTGACCTGGGTACCACCCCCAGGTCCTGGTGGGGAGTGGGGCCCTTGGTCTCCATGCTCCGTGCCCTGCGGTGGTGGCTACAGGAACCGCACCCGGGGCAGTGGCCTGCACAGCCCCATGGAGTTCTCCACCTGTGGCCTGCAGCCCTGCACAGGTGAGAGCTGCCCTGGGGACCCTCCAGTTCTCATTCTTACCAACCCAGGGCACTGTCAACCCCCTGTCCGCCACCCCAGCACAGCCCTGTCCCTCAGCCGTTGTGCAGCCCCCATGACCACCCCACCCATACCCAGAGCTGGTGCCTCTCCCAGGTTGGGAGCTCAGGGGAGAGCTGAGTGCTCTGGGGCTGGGCTGTCAACTTCTATGTCCCCAGGGCCAGTGCCTGGCATGTGTCCCAGGGGCAAGCAGTGGCTGGACTGTGCCCAGGGCCCTGCCTCCTGTGCAGAGCTCAGCGCTTCAAGAGGAACTAACAAGACCTGCCACCCTGGCTGCCACTGCCCCTCTGGGATGCTCCTGCTGGTGAGTGTCCCCGTGCCTGGCCCCAGCGAGGCCTCCGCACAGCTTGGGGACCATGGGGTGGCAGGGAAGGGACAGGCAGGATCTGGGCAGCGAAGAACAAAGGGTATGGGGCTGGAGACAGGGAGACCCTGCAAGGTTGAGGAAAGGGTACTGAACTCATGGGCCATAACTCAGCTCCGGCAGGAACCAGCAGGGGATCCTGGGCAGGTCTCATCCCTCTCCCATCTCCCTCCCCCTGTCCGCCATCTGTCTTGACTCTCCCCTGTGTGAGCCTCCTGGGGCTGCTGTCACCGAGTGCCTGAGATCCTGGGCAGGTCTCATCCCTCACCCCTCCCTCCCCCTGTCCCCCATCTGTCTTCCCTCTCCCCACCTGTGTGAGCCTCCTGGGGCTGCTGCCACTGAGTGCCATGCACTGCGGGGGGTTCTTGAGCAGCGGCCCCTGATGGTCTCACAGATCCTAGAAGCCCAGGATCATGGTGTTGGTGGGTAGGCTCCTTCTGAGGGCTGCAAGGGAGACTGTTCAAGGCCTCTCTCCTCTTTTGGGAGTTTGCTGGAAATCCTTGGCACTCCTTGGTCTATAGGTGGCCTTCTCCCTGTCTCTTCACGTCATCTTCCCACATTTTCTCTTCTTATAAAGGACACAAGATGCATTAAAACTAGGGCCACCTCAGTGACCTCCTTTTAACCCAATCACCTCTGTACAGACCTCATCTCCAAATAAGCTCCCATTCCCAGCGACTGGGGCTAGGACTTGAACTTGAGGGTTTGGGGGGCCACAATGCAGCCCATGGGCCACCCACCTCTGTTTCTTCACTGGTGAAAAATGGTGATAGGTCTAGAAGGTCTTTGTGAATTGTCCCTGCTCAAGTGCTCTGTGCACTGTGTTATCACCAGTTATTTATCGAGCACCTACTGTATGTTTAGTCTCTGGCTGAGCGGTTCTGTGGGGGAAGGAGTAGTCTCTGCCCTCAAGAAGCATCCAGTCTGGGGAAACCAGACCCAGAGCCCCTAAAATGAAGATGAAGCCATCAGATGGGCAGGAAGTGAGCTTTGCACATTGTGGAGTAGGCTAGGTCAGCCATGGAGGGCTCCCTGTAGGAGGTGGTCCTGACTTGAACATCAGAGATTGGAGGGTGTGGAGAGTAGGGAGGCATGGCAGGCTTCCTGGAGGAGGTGGTCCTGCACTTGAAGATCTGAGATTGGAGAGCAGAGAGGTCGCCACTCTAGTCAGAGGGTGGTGGGAATTGGGGCTAGGAAATGCTGGCTGCATGGTGGGATTGAACAAAGCCGTGGGGTGAGTCATAGGGTGTGGTTAAGGGACATGTTGTAATCATATCTGAGTTCAAATCAGGCTCTTTTACTAGTAGCCCAGCGAGCTTGGGGGTAGTATTCCCGTGCCTCAGTTCGTTCCTTTGTAAATTAGGGTAAAATTACAGCCAGTCATAGGAGTCAGTGAGACGGCGCAGGGAAAGTGCTTCCCAGGCCCTGGCCCGTAAACTTCAGTGCATTCGACTTTGAATCGTGTGCCACAAGACGGCTGTTTATTTTAAATCTGAAGGACTTCTGTCCAGTCTGCCTGTGCACCATGTTTTTCTGTTTTTATTTTGTTGATGAAAGTATGTCTTTTCCTACCATTGCTGTACAAATTGCACAGTTCATGTTTTCATGGCTGACTTCATGGGGATTCGACAGTTCAGTCTCATGTCCTGCAATTTAAGATGGTCTTTTTCTCCTAGAAATTGGAGGGTCCATGCCCCCATGGCCCCCAAGCCAATGGTCCGCATTTGCCTGGCAGGAGGGCAGTGGGGAGAGCTGCATGTCTGTGGAAGGAGGGTGGGTGGCTTTTAAGGGGGAGCTTGAGGATTGCATTCGGGCTCTGACCAGGGGTGGGGAGCCCACGCCCAGCCCATCTGGAGCCAGAAGATGACAGAGGGTTTCGATTCCAGAACAACGTGTGTGTGCCCACCCAGGACTGCCCTTGTGCCCATGAGGGGCACCTCTACCCTCCAGGCAGCACTGTGGTTCGTCCATGTGAAAACTGGTGAGACACCACCCCCACCTCATTATGGCCCTGTGACTTCCGAAGACCCACTGTCCCTCCTCAGAGGCAGGGAATTTGGCTCCAGTTGGGGACACACGGGCCCTCCACCCCCAGCCCCTCGGCACAGTCGTCCAGCCCTCTAAGGCTGCACCTGCCCGTACCCCTCCCTTCCCCTGTCCCCCATCTGTCTTCCCTCTCTCACCCTGTGTGAGCCTCCTGGGGCTACTGCCACCGAGTGCCATGCACTGGGGGGCTTGAGCAGCAGCCCCTGATGGTCTCACAGATCCTGGAAGCCCAGGATCATGGTGTTGGCGGGTAGGCTCCTTCTGAGGGCTGCAAGGGAGACTGTTCAAGGCCTCTCTCCTCTTTTGGGAGTTTGCTGGAAATCCTTGGCACTCCTTGACCTATAGGTGGCCTTCTCCCTGTCTCTTCACGTCATCTTCCCACATTTTCTCTTCTTATAAAGGACACAAGATGCATTAAAACTAGGGCCACCTCAGTGACCTCCTTTTAACCCAATCACCTCTGTACAGACCTCATCTCCAAATAAGCTCCCATTCCTAGGGACTGGGGCTAGGACTTGAACTTGAGGGTTTGGGGGGCCACAATGCAGCCCATGGACCACCTGACCCTCTGCTGCTCCCCACAGCTCCTGTGTCTCTGGGCTCATCGCCAACTGCAGCTCCTGGCCTTGTGTGGAGGGTAAGGAAGCATCCCCACTTCTGACTTGCACCCCAGTTCCCCCATCCCTCGGCTGCAGGAGCGGGCCAGGGCTGAGACTGGGGGAGGAAAGCCATCAGGAGAGGTGGGGAGCAGGGGCACCATGCTCCATCTTCAGCCTGTCCAGCTTGTGCCTATCCCCCTCCTGCCTGCCTGCCTCCTGGGCATCCCCTAGGTGAGCCCACGTGGTCACCCTGGACCCCTTGGAGCCAGTGTTCAGCCTCCTGTGGCCCTGCCCGACGCCATCGGCACCGGTTCTGTGCCAGGTCCCCCAGTGCAGCGCCATCCACCGTGGCTCCGCTGTCCCTGCCAGCCACCCACACACCTCTCTGCCCAGGCCCCGAGGCTGAGGAGGAGCCATGTCTCCTGCCAGGGTGTGATCGTGAGTGCCTGCCTGCCCTGCCCGCCTGGACCCTTCTGCGGAGCCCAGGGTGGTGCCCACTGTGCGCTGTGGATGCTGCTGCCTTGTACCAACTGTCCCCTGGCCCCAGCTAAGCCCTTCCTCACTCCTTCCTGTGCTGTCCCCCCAGGAGCTGGGGGATGGGGTCCATGGGGAACATGGTCCCACTGTAGCCGGAGCTGTGGGGGAGGCCTGCGGAGCCGGACCCGGGCCTGTGACCAGCCCCCACCCCAGGGCCTGGGGGATTACTGCGAGGGGCCACGGGCCCAGGGGGAGGCCTGCCAGGCTCTGCCCTGCCCAGGTACCTGCCAGGGATGGGGGTGGGGATCAGGGACGGAGGAAGGGGAGTTAGAGGAAGCATTCCAGGGAGACAGGTCAGGGTGGATGACCCCACACAGCTCTTAGTCCATCCTGTCTGCCCTCAGTGACCAACTGCACCGCCATTGAAGGGGCAGAGTATAGTCCCTGTGGCCCTCCATGCCCTCGCTCCTGTGATGACCTAGTGGTGAGTCCCAGCTCCCTTGGTACTGCCACCTGACCCAAGGCCCACTTTGCGGGAGGGCAAGGCATGGCTTTGGGCTCATGGCCTATTTTGCTGGGGCCTGGACAGCCCAGCACAGGTGGGCATGGGTGGGGGCTCTGGCTTCAGTTCACAGAGCATGCCAGCCCATCCCAGAGAGACACCAGCCTCGCCCCATAGAGAGCCAGCCTCACCCGACAGCCCTTGTCTATAGATCAGACAATTATGACAGAAATGGCATAAACACGAAGGAAGGGGGAAATCATCTCGAACCTCATGAGCATGTTGGTGTCTAGACCTGCATGTGTGCATGGGTGGGGGAGTGGGTGTCCACTGTGTGCCCACCCAGGCACCCTGGACACAAAGGGAAGCAAACATAGGGTCACCATGGAGCCCACATTTTGGGCTGAGCAAGACGGACATGCAGGGAAGAATGGACACAGTAGGGGCCATGGAGAATGAGGTAGGGCTTCGAGGCCTTGGGTGTGGAGGGGCTAAGGGCGATGGGGACAGGGAGGAGAAAGAGGAGGTCGTTGCAGGCAGTGCCTGCTCCCAGCCGCCCCAGGGCCTCCCAGCTCCTTCCCGAACTGCCCCCTTGCCCAGCCAGCTCCCCAAGTTCTAGAGAGGTCTGGGACATGCCCCAGGTCCCAGGCCATCAGTCCAGGTCACCTGCTGGAATTGGGGTTTTACATTTGGGAACACCTAGCTCCAAATCCCTGCCCCAGGGAGCCAAAGGGAACCTGCTCAGCTGCTCCTCCCTCCCCTCCACCCCCAGGGAGGGGCCAACCCAGAGACTCCAGTGGAAACTGCAAGGCTGGGTCCCCTTCCTGCCTTTCTCATTGGCACCACAAGGTGTACTCTGTGTTTAAAACGTGAGGCCTCTGTCATACTTTCCTCCCCAGCCCCTTGTTCCGTTGTCTTCTCTGCATAGCTTTCCTTTTTCTGCTGATGGCCCCCCACTTACTGTCCCCCAGCACTGCGTGTGGCGCTGCCAGCCTGGCTGCTACTGCCCACCAGGCCAGGTACTGAGTTCCAACGGGGCCATCTGCGTGCAGCCGGGTCACTGCGACTGCCTGGACCTGCTGACCGGGCAGCGGCACCATCCGGGTGCTCAGCTGGCAAGGCCTGACGGCTGCAACCACTGGTAAGGGGCTCCCGCTGTGGCGGGAGGCAGGGATGCCAGCAGGAGTCGCCCCACTTCATCCCATGCTCTTGAGCTCTCCGGAGTCTCCGCGGATGGTCACATTTGCCCCCCACAATCCCTGAGCAGATGTGGGCAGGCACCATGACCTGTGTCTGATAGGCAAGGAAGCTGAAGCTAAGCCTGTGTGTCTGCAGGGGCTGGGCGTGTGCTCAGGGGCAAGAGGGGTCTGGGCAGGAGGAGCCTGGGCAGGAGGAGTGACAGATATGGCATTCACAACCCATCTGACCACACAGTTGGCTCCCGGGTACCTGTAGTCCTTCGTCAAGAGAAGGCATCGGCTGGTGACCCCGAGAGGGCCAACTAAGTGGGACAGGGAGCAGGATGGGGAGGCACTGGAGAGCTGGGAGAACACTGGATGGGGCACTGTCTGGAAGAACACTGAGGATCAATCTTAAGGATGAGGGGAGGGGAGAGGCAGTGGGGGGGTGCAGGGTTAGGGTTTGGGGTGGGACTGAGCTGCTGCCTCTTCCTTCTGTGTCTGCACCCCCTGCCCAGCACCTGCCTGGAGGGGAGGCTGAACTGCACAGACCTGCCCTGCCCAGGTATGTGCCCAGCTTGGAGGGAGGCAAAGAGGGGGGCCTGGGACCGGGGAAGGGACGGGTTGCACCCCAGTGCCCTCCGTTCTCCTCACAGTGCCCGGAGGCTGGTGCCCATGGTCGGAGTGGACACTGTGCTCCCAGCCCTGCAGGGGCCAGACCAGGAGCCGCTCCAGGGCCTGCACCTGCCCCACTCCTCAGCATGGGGGTGCCCCATGCACCGGGGAGACTGGGGAGGCAGGGGCCCAGCATCAGAGCGAGGCCTGCCCCAGCTCTGCCACGTGCCCAGGTGTGATGCCCCACGAGGCCTACGTCCCTCCCGCAAAAGGCCCTAAACCCCTGCTCCAACCCCGCTGACCTGGGGCCTCCTGGGCCTCCTAATGCCGGTGATCTGTCTTCCTGGCACAGTGGACGGAGCCTGGGGCCCATGGGGGCCATGGTCTTCCTGCGACACGTGCTTGGGGCAGTCCCACCGGAGCCGGGCATGCAGCCAGCCCCCCACCCCTGAGGGAGGGAGGCCCTGCCCTGGGAGCCACACGCAGAGTCGCCCTTGCCAGGACAATTCCACCCGGTGCACAGGTCAGGCTTCAGTAAGGTCTGGGAGGGCGCCTCTAAGTCTAGGGGGATGCTGACTCTGGCCTCTGATCTCCACACATATCATGTCACTCTCTCAAGGGACAGTTCCCAGGCCATCAGTCATGGACCTGGTCGAGGCGGTGGGCCCGAGTGGGGGATAGGCATGGCAGGAGGTCTGCAGATCCCTCAGGATGCCCTTCCGTGACCACCCTCTCTGCTTTCTTCCTGCATAGACTGTGGGGGTGGCCAGAGCCTGCACCCCTGTGGGCAGCCCTGCCCCCGCTCCTGCCAGGACCTGTCCCCTGGGAGTGTGTGCCAGCCAGGCTCTGCGGGCTGCCAGCCCAGCTGTGGGTGCCCCTTGGGCCAGCTCTCCCAGGATGGGCTGTGCGTGCCCCTGGCCCGCTGCCGCTGCCAGTACCAGCCTGGAGCCATGGGTGAGTGCCTCCCCTCTCCCCCAGGCCCCAGCACTGCAGTGCCACCTGTCCAGCCCCTGTGCCACTTCCCCGGGGGCCCAGCCTGGGGCTGCAGGACAAAAATGAGCAATTACCAGCTCTCTAGGCCTTTGTGTCCCTCAACCCACCCCACCCCCCACCACCAAACCCAGGGCTGTCTGGTTGGAGCGTCTACCTCCCTTGTTCAGGACATAGGGTGCCATGCGGTAGAGGCAAGAGGGTGGGGAGTAGAAGGCCATGGGGTGGGAGAAAGGATGGATGGGGGGAGCTGAGCTGTCTGGAGCCCCCACCCCCCACTCCTGTGCCCCTCAGGGATCCCTGAGAACCAGAGTCGGTCAGCAGGGTCTAGGTTTAGCTCCTGGGAGAGCCTGGAACCAGGAGAGGTGATCACTGGGCCATGCGACAACTGGTAAGCCAAGAAAAGTGGGGACAGGGAGGCGCGTAGAGCCCAGGAGGGGAGCCCTCAGGGCATGGGGCTAGTCCTGTCTCTGAAGTCCCTCCCTTGTCCCCAGCACCTGTGTGGCAGGCATTCTGCAATGCCAGGAGGTGCCCGGCTGCCCGGACCCTGGGCTGTGGAGCTCTTGGGGCCCTTGGGAAGACTGCAGTGTTTCGTGTGGGGGTGGGGAGCAGCTGCGCTCCCGGCGCTGTGCCCGTCCTCCCTGCCCAGGGCCTGCCCGCCAGAGCCGCACATGCAGCACGCAGGTCTGCAGAGGTGAGCGCCAGCCCGGGACCTAACCCCCCCTCTGACCTTTGAGTCCCATCCTGGCCTTTGACCCTGACTCATGGTTGCCTTTTGGCCTTTCCCTCCTCACTCCCACCTGTCCCCCAGTGCCCTCCTACCATCGATGGACACGTGAAGGAGGACTCAGCCAGACTGTGGGAGCCTGTGGGAGGGGGCAGTGCCTATGGCAGGGGGATGGGCAGGTGAAAGGTGCTCCCTGAGGTGGGCAGTGAGGGCCGGGGCTGGAGCAGGTGCTGATGTGTCTGCTGCCTCAGAGGCAGGTTGCCCGGCTGGCCGCCTGTACCGCGAGTGCCAGCCCGGCGAGGGATGCCCCTTCTCCTGCACCCACATCACGCAGCAGGTGGGCTGCTCCTCTGAGGGCTGCGAGGAGGGCTGCCACTGCCCCGAGGGCACCTTCCAGCACCGCCTGGCCTGTGTGCAGGTCAGAACCTGTCCACCCCACAACCTGTCCACAACTCCTTGCCCTCCCTGCCCTTCCTTTACCTGTCCCCTCTGTCATGTCTGTCACTTTTGCAGACCCTGTCACCCCTGGGCAGGCCCCTAAGCAGAATACAGGCTGGTGAGGCCACCTGAGGCCTCTGCTGACAGCGTCGGGGGCAGGCAGACTTAGACGCAGACTCCCGGGGTCCCTGGTTCCCCGCGAATGGGGGACACCTGCCGCCTCTGGACTTGCCTGGCCTCTGCTCCTGACCGGCACATCTCCCAACCCCGCCGGGGCTCTCACCCGCCCTGTGTTTCCCGCTGACCCGTCACCCTGGCAGGGAGGGGCAGTTTCCTGCCAGGTTCTCATGTCCCCCAACCTCACTGGCCCAGCCTCACCTTCCTGTCCTCCACTGTGGGGCATGGGTCTTCACCACTTTTCTCTTGCCTATCACACACTTGTGGGAACAGTGCCCCTCACCTTCACTCCCCTTGGCCCCAGCTGGTCCCCCGCTGTGCATCCCAGCGGCAGCCGGGGCCAGCTCTGCTCTGCTGAGCCCAGCGGGCACATAGGGATCCCTTTCCTAATCCTAAGGCCGGCTGCCCAGTGGCCACCCCTGAGCCAGAGTTCCAGGATGCCATAGCCAGGAGGGACCAGAGCTGCTACTTACCTGGTCTCACCTCCTAGACCTAGAGATGGTGACAGTGAGACCCAGAGAGGGGAGGGGACACACCAAGGTCACACACAGCAGCAGAGCCAGACCCAAACCTAACATCCCGATTCCTGGCTGAGGCTCTTTCTGCCCCCCCACCACATCTGAGTCTGTGAGGGCCTGTGTTGGTGCCTCCTTGTGTCCTGCTGGGCACTCTGTGTGGGGAAGCCAGCTCAGGCCAAGCCCAGGCCATGCCCCTCTCATGGTGTGCTCATTTCCCTGACGTGGGTGAACAGCCCCTGCTCCTGGAAATGCTTTCCTGGAGCCTGAAGCCCTCTTCTGGGTCCTCACACTGACCCTCCCCAAGTCTCTCCAGGGGATGTGCCCAGCCCTGGGTGGGTGGCCTATGCTGTAATGCTGTCTGCTCTGCCCCACTTCCCCAGGAGTGCCCTTGTGTGCTGACAGCCTGGCTACTGCAGGAGCTGGGAGCCGCCAGAGCTGGCCCTGGTCAGTCCCTCGGGCCTGGAGATGAGCTTGGCTCGGGTCAGACACTTCATACAAGCTGCGGCAACTGGTGAGGGGGATGGTGAGGGTCAAGGAGATTTTCAGTGGAGGGAGGGGTTAGAGGGTAAGAGACCAGGAACCCCAGTCTGCCCTCTGACCCCACCTGGGCTGGATTAACCTGGCTCTTCCCCCAGCTCCTGTGCACATGGGACGCTGTCTTGCTCCCTGGAGGACTGCTTCGAGGCCGGTGGTGGTTTCGGTCCCTGGAGCCCGTGGGGCCCATGCTCCCGCTCCTGTGGTGGGCTGGGCACCCGCACCCGCAGCCGCCAGTGTGTGCTCCCCATGCCCGTCCCCAGTGGTCAGGGCTGCCGTGGGCCCCGCCAGGGCCTTGAGTACTGCCCCAGCCCAGACTGCCCTGGTAAGGACAACAGGAAGGTGGTGGGCAGGGCTAGGGTCAGGATGGCACTGGACAAACATCTAGGAGGTCTTCTTGGAGGAGGCAGTATCTGAGGGGTTTTGAGGGAGGGAGGGAACTTTGACCAGTATTGGAAGGAAAGGAACGGCTTGAGCAAAGGCCTTGATCCTGCAGTGAAGTGCTGTGCTTGGGGCCTGGGTGTCCACAGGAGCTCAAGCTGAGGAGGGCTGGACTAGATAGCTGTGAGCCCACAGTGCCAGCTGCCAGCCTTAGGCGGGGTCCTGGTGCACTGTGGGTACAAAAACATTTCTGAGTGGGGTTTCCTTTGGCACAGGGGCTGAAGGGTCCACGGTGGAGCCAGTGACAGGCCTTCCAGGTAGCTCCAGACTCCCTGCACCTCTGCCTCATGGCCTCCCTGTGGGAAGAGCAAGCCCAGGGACCCTTTCCCCCTCCCCTGCTTCCTGGAGAGGCTGAAGCTCAGGGCCGACTCATCCCAGGAGGCGCCCTCCCCACTCCCTCCCCCAGGTGGCTGGGGCCCGTGGTCCTCCTGGTCCCCCTGCTCCAGAAGCTGCACAGACCCTGCTCGCCCTGCATGGCGCAGCCGCACCCGCCTCTGCCTGGCTAACTGCACCATGGGTGACCCATTACAGGAGCGCCCCTGCAACCTGCCCTCGTGCACAGGTGCACCTTCCAGCCTCAACCTCTGACCCCAGCCACCACCCTCAGACAACTCATTGTAACCCCCAAGTTCCAACATCTAATACCTCTCAAGTAATCATTGGTTTCTAGTGTTGACATCTCATTTCAAATCAGTGGCTGACTCCGGGCTCTGGGTCCTCTTTGCCAACCTCAGCAGCTGCTGGGGAGCCCAACTTCCAGCACATCCCTTGTTCTCTTGTGTGTGTGCTGAACTCTCCAGCCACCCAAAGGTCCCACCCAAATCCCTCTGCAGCCCTGTGAGTCTGGGATTACTGTCCCCGATGAGAAAAGGGGATACTGAGGCCCAGTTGTCAAAGCCGCACAGTAGTCAATGTCAGATCCAGACGGAGAGCCCAGAGCTCTGGACGAGGCTGGCCTGGGTGGTAGAGTTCTACCCTTAAGCCTGGGTGGTGGAGTTCTATCCTTAAGCTGGGAGCAGAGGGGAAAGGCTGGGCAGGTGTCGTGCAGCCGGGACTGGCTCCAGCTCCGCTTTGTGTCACAGAGCTGCCCCTGTGCCCTGGCCCTGGCTGTGGGGCTGGGAACTGTTCCTGGACCTCCTGGGCCCCGTGGGAACCTTGCTCCCGCAGCTGCGGGGTGGGTCAGCAGCGCCGCCTGCGGGCATACCGTCCCCCTGGGCCCAGCGGGCACTGGTGCCCCGACATCCTTACCGCCTACCAAGAGCGCCGCTTCTGTAACCTGCGAGCCTGCCCAGGTGAGGCAGCTGGGGGAGACCAGGGCGTACCCTAGGCTCTGCCCCTGGAAAGCCCCTGGCATCAGTGCCCCCTCCCAGGCACCCAGCCTACCTGCGTGCACTTCCATCTCTCGCACCAGATCCTGACCCGAGCTCGTGGGAGAGGTGGGGGCCCCTGCCTGAGCCGACCCCTCAGGTGGCCGTTCTCTTTCCCACACAGTGCCCGGGGGCTGGTCACGCTGGAGTCCCTGGTCCTGGTGTGACCGCAGCTGTGGGGGAGGCCAATCCCTGAGAAGCCGCAGCTGCTTGAGCCCCCCACCCAAGAACGGGGGTGCCCCCTGTGCTGGGGAGCGGCACCAGGCCCGGCTCTGCAATCCCACGCCTTGTGGTATGTCAGTGGTGACAGTCCTGTCCCACCCCTATTGGGCTCCACTCTGCATGGGGCCTGGCTGCTACCTCATGGGCCAGTTTGGAAACTGAGCCCTCTGGGTGGATGGCTGGGCCTGGCATTGGGCAAGGATACCCTGAGCGTGTCTGTTGTCTGTGCCAAGGCCCAAAGATCCACCCCGGCCACCCCAACCAACAGGAGCTCCTCCTCTCGGCTTTCCCATCCCCAAGGTGGGAAAGAATCATCCAGTCCTGTCACGATTTTTAGAGGCTTTGACAGTGGCCCTGTCAGGAGCGGGCGTGGCACTTGTGGGTGGTGGATGGAGCCAGTGACTGTAGCTGAACCTGCGCCGCCTCCTGTCACCCCCAAGCTTCAGCTGCTTTAATTGGCCCTCCCCAGCCCACCAGGCCCGTGGCATGGGTTCTCCCAGGGCTCCCCTCCTCTATCCCCACCCACCCTCTGGGGGGACACAGGCTCCAGGTGACACTGTTGGCTTTTGAGACCCACAAATGTAGTCCACCTCCGCAAACGTTTACTGGGTACCAGGGTAGGTGCTGAGAACTCACAGGAGGTGAGAGGCACTCACTGTCTACCTAGAATGTCCCAATCCCAGAGTCTTCCTGAGTCTTCTGTGTTTCAGTGGGCACCAACGTGGGGGATGGGATGGGTCCTGTAGCTTCATGGATGTAGGGAGTCCCCAGCAGGGCAGAGGAAGGGTTTCTGAGCTCTGGGCCCTCCTGACTCTGGGCCCCCCCATCTGCTTAGAGGCCGGCTGCCCAGCAGGCATGGAGGTGGTCACCTGTGCCAACCGCTGCCCCCGCCGCTGCTCAGACCTCCAGGAGGGAATTGTGTGTCAGGACGACCAGGTCTGCCAGAAGGGCTGCCGCTGCCCAAAGGGTAGGTGCTGCCCTGTCCTTCAGGAGTATCAGGGTGGCTGAGTGGGAAGGTGTGGGTGGGGCCAGGGGTGCCAGCTCCAGCCCTTGCCCCACAGGGTCTCTGGAGCAGGATGGCGGCTGCGTGCCAATTGGGCACTGTGACTGCACCGATGCCCAGGGCCACATTTGGGCCCCGGGGAGCCAGCACCAGGATGCCTGCAACAACTGCTCATGCCAAGCTGGGCGGCTCTTCTGCACGGCTGAGCCCTGCCCGCCTCCCACCCATTGTGCCTGGAGCCGCTGGTCGGCCTGGAGTCCCTGCAGCCACTCATGTGGGCCCGGAGGGCAGCAGAGCCGCTTCCGGTATGGGGCTGGCAGGGCTAGAGGTCCCCTCTGCCACCCAGGGCCTCACTCTGCAAGGCACAGTCTCCCTTCTGACAGAGAGTTCCTGGGTCCCGCTCTCACCAGCGACAGCACCACCCCAGACCCTGGGCCAGCTCTGTCCCTGGTTGCCCTGGCTTCTCCTTAGCTGTCTCCATGCCCACTCTGAGGTGTCCCATCAGGGTGTCTCACCAGAAGACAGACAAGTGATGAGGGGCCTGCGCCATCTCTCACCTCCTGGCCCCACCCAGGTCCTCCACGTCGGGCTCGTGGGCCCCAGAGTGTCGGGAGGAACAGTCCCAGAGCCAGCGCTGTCCTCAGCCCTCGTGCCCACCCCTGTGCCTGCAGGGCACTCGCCCCCGCGCCCTGGGGGACAGCTGGCTGCACGGGGAGTGCCAGCAGTGGTGAGTGCAGGGCAGGGAGCGGGGCTGGAGCCGCCCTGCCGGAGAGCAGCGTCCTGAGTCCTGGCTCTTTCCCAGCTCCTGCACCCCGGAGGGTGTGATCTGCGAAGACACGGAGTGTGCAGGTCTGGGCTGCCTCCGGATCCCCGCCTCAGCCATGCTTCTAGCCTCACGCCTTGCCTGCCATGTGCTCTGGGTCTCATTTTCTCCCACCTTACTTAACTGCCACTCCCTGGGCCACCATGCAGGTCCCCACCCAGTCCTCTGGCCTTGGCTCCCTCCACCTCCTCTGACCTCACCTGTGCCCTCCCACAGTGCCTGAGGCCTGGACGCTGTGGTCCTCCTGGTCTGACTGCCCTGTCTCCTGTGGAGGTGGAAACCAGGTCCGAACCCGGGCCTGCAGGGCCGCAGCCCCTCACCATGGGAGCCCACCCTGCCTGGGCCCTGACACCCAGACCCAGCCTTGCGGGCAGCAGCCTTGCCCAGGGCTGCTGGAGGCCTGCTCCTGGGGCCCGTGGGGACCCTGTTCCCGCAGCTGTGGCCTGGGCCTGGCCTCTCGCTCTGGGTCCTGCCCCTGCCTGATAGCCAAGGCGGACCCCACCTGCAATGGCACCTTCCTCCACCTGGACACCCAGGGCTGCTACCCAGGGCCCTGCCCGGGTGAGTGTGCAGGGGAAGTGAAATCACCTCTCCACTTTTCCTAGCTTGGGAGATTCAGAAAATAAATATTTTTCTAGTTCCCGGATGATCCCTTCAAATAAGCCTGCCCTGTCTGTGCCCCCATGTTTTGCTCAGTTCCTTTCGTCTTCCCACCATCTCTTCCCTTGGGGCCCTCCTTGTGGGGTGAGAGGGCGTCCAGCCAGCCCAGCCTTTCAGGCCCCTCTTGCCTGTTTCCTGTGGAGGGTGTCAGCAGGGCTGGGGTGAGAGGGCAGGCAGGGGAGAGGGGGCTGACACACCCCTCTGGTCCCTAGAGGAGTGTGTGTGGAGCAGCTGGAGCAGCTGGACGCACTGCTCTTGCCGGGTGCTGGTGCAGCAGCGCTACCGACACCAGGGCCCGGCGTCCCAAGGGGCCAGGGCAGGCGCCCCCTGCACGCGGCTGGATGGCCACTTCCGGCCTTGCCTTATCGGCAACTGTTCTGGTGAGGCTCCAGGAGCAAGAAAACAGGGAGCTGAGCAGGGCAGCAGCCACCAAGGGTCCCTGTTGGAACTCCCTGCTCCCCTCACAGCCAATGTAATGACCCCAAGACCTCAAAGCGGCTGCCTGCACCTGTGCCTGCACCCATGCCTGCCCTCGAACCCAGCCACTCCCCTGTTCTCCCCAGATACTCCGTCAGAGCTGCACCCCCAATCCCTCACCACAATTTGTCCACCCTGCAGTTGCCAGCCCGCCTGTGACTTTGGCCTGTGTAGCTGCCCTCTAGGAGGGTGTCTTACCTGCCTCCTGCTGTGGCTGCCCTCCTGCCCTCCATCTCTGCCCCTCTGTCTCCCATCTGCCAGTCTCTGGAGCACCTGCCAGGCCCCTCACTCCTGCCAGGCCCCTCCTGCCAGGCCCCTCACTCCTGCCAGGCCCCTCACTCCTGCAGCCCCCTCCTCAGCTGCCTCCTCCAGGCATCTTCCTGGCTCTCCAAGGCCCAACCCATCCTGATCTTCCCTGGAGGTGCCCACAGGAGCTGAGTGGGTGCCAGATGGGGAACACTGGTTTGTTCTGACATGTGGAGGGTGGGCATCTTGTACTCTTGCCAGGTGACCCCAAGGGGCCTCAGTGGAACCATGCAGCATGTTCTCTGGGCTTTGGGAGTGGTGTCTCTGGGCTGTTCCCCCACCAGCCTGCCTCTCCCGCATCTCCCCCAGAGGACAGCTGCACGCCTCCCTTTGAGTTCCATGCCTGCGGCTCCCCCTGTGCTGGGCTCTGTGCCACACACCTGAGCCATCAGCTCTGCCAGGACCTGCCGCCCTGCCAGCCGGGCTGCTACTGCCCCAAGGTGAGAGCTGGGAGCTGGGGCAACTCCCAAGAAAAAGGGGGTCCTCTGCCCACACTCCCACTCCTCCTCCTCTCTGTGATGTCCATGGTGACCCCACCTCCTTCAAACTCCTTGGAACTCGGTGCCTCCTCCCAGCTTGCCGTTCACTCGGCATCATACATGCTGCAGGCAGGGCACGGTGCTGGGTGCTGGGATGACACGATGATCACTGTCCCGTCTCTCCTTCCACCCAGGGGCTGCTGGAGCAGGCTGGGGGCTGCATTCCCCCGGAGCAGTGTAACTGCTGGCATACCTCAGCAGCAGGAGCCAGGATAACCCTGGCCCCTGGGGACCGCCTGCAGCTGGGCTGTAAGGAGTGGTGAGTGATGGGGGAAGGAGTGGGGTGTAAGGAGTGGTGAGTGATGGGGGAAGGAGTGGGGGGTGTAAGGAGTGGTGAGTGATGGGGGAAGGAGTGGGGGGTGTAAGGAGTGGTGAGTGATGGGGGAAGGAGTGGGGTGTAAGGAGTGGTGAGTGATGGGGGAAGGAGTGGGGTGTAAGGAGTGGTGAGTGATGGGGGAAGGGAGACAGAGTGCTGGGGCCAGGGAATAGGGCAGGGAGGCCTGGGGGGCCCAGTCCAGCCTCAGGACACAGAACCATGAGATGCCAGAGTTTGCAGCTCCCTTATCTTGCCCCAAATGTGCCTAGGGCTCAGGTTACCCTTGCATGACCGCTCCCCGCCCTGCCTGGGAGGTCCTGGGCTGGCTCCTGCCTCCCTTAGTCTACCCTGACCACCCCCTCCCGCAGTGAATGCCGGCGTGGGGAGCTGCACTGCACCAGCCAGGGCTGTCAAGGTAACCCTGACCTATGGAGACAACTGTCCCCATTGCTTGGGACTGGGGGGCTTCTGGGATGCAGAACTTTCAGTGCTAAGACGGGGACAGTCCCAGGCAAACAGGGATGGTGGGTCACCCTACCCTGCACCCACACCACCCTCAGCCTTCCTGTTTCCAGCACTTCCTGGTCATGACCCTGAGCCCCGCCTGCCTGTCCCCGGGGTCTCTGGGCTGGGGGGCGGTCACTGGGAAGGGCACCCACACCCTACCCTTCCAGGTCTTCTGCCTCTGAGTGAGTGGTCCGAGTGGTCGCCCTGTGGGCCCTGCCTGCCGCCCAGCGCCCTGGCCCCTGCCTCCAGAACTACCCTAGAGGAGCGCTGGCTCCAGGACCCAACCAGCCTCTCTCCCACCTCGGCCCCGCTGCTGGCTTCAGAGCAGCACCGCCACCGGCTCTGTCTGGATCCTGCGACAGGGAGGCCCTGGACTGGAGCCCCTCACCTCTGCACTGCACCCCTCCGCCAGCAGCGCCTCTGCCCTGACCCTGGAGCCTGCCCTGGTAATGGGGAGAGGCAGAGGCCACAGGACAGGAGGGGCCTGGAGTGCGGGTTGGGGGAACCTTGTGGAAGGGGCTAGGCTATAGAGCGCATTGATCTGCTGCCCGTCCTGCTTGCCTCTAGGGCCTGCAGGATTTGAAGCTGGGGTGGGGTCCGGGCAGCAGCTAGAAAGAGGAGCGGGAGGGCCTAGAGGGCTTTAAGGCCAGCCGGAGCATTTGCAGCAACAAAGCTCAAGGCTTGAGGGGAAGGCTGGAGATGGGCCTGGGTACTGACTCCATTGTGCCTTCCCCAGACTCATGCCAGTGGAGTCTGTGGGGGCCATGGAGCCCCTGCCAGGTGCCTTGCAGTGGGGGGTTCAGGCTACGCTGGAGAGGGACAGAGGCCCCCACTGGAGGAGGCTGCCGGGGGCCATGGGCTCAGACAGAAAGCTGCAACAGAGGGCCCTGCCCAGGTAACTCCCATCCCCGCATCCAGAGGCAGGTCTGGGACAGGAACATCGGAGATCAAACCTGAGGGGAGAGTTGGCTCTACCCCAGAGCCGTGTAGTAGAAGCGGGGAGCCAAAAGTGTCCCCAACACAGACTCCTATCATCTGGTCCTCAGGTGAGAGCTGCGAGGCCCGAAACACTGTATTCACCCTCGACTGTGCCAACCAGTGCCCACGCAGCTGTGCCGACCTCTGGGACCGCGTTCAGTGTCTACAGGGACCCTGCCGCCCAGGTAGCCAGCAGGTCCCACCACCTGGCTGGGAGTTCCCGGAAAGCCTGGGCCTCCCCCAACTGCCTCCTGCTCCCAGAGAGTGTGTGATCTCGGGCAGGGGTGGGGGAAGTTCAGACTGCTGGGTCATGAGTGGCGGGGCAGGAAAGTGGTCACTTTCAGCAGCCAGCTCTGAGTCCTCCAAGGAGTGAGCGTCACTCAGGGCCACTGTTCCATGTGGATGCTCAGGTGGCTGTCAGGGTTACTGGGTGGTGCCCACACAGGCTAGAGCAGCCCTTTCCTGTGCATGGGCAGTGGGAGGTACTGTGGAAACCAGGCTTTGGACTCGATCTGGTTGCCGGGGGAGGATCCACTGGGTAAGCCCTTCCTGAGCACCCAATTTTGTTCGGCCTCTTTACCCACATCCCTAGGCTGCCGCTGTCCCCCTGGCCAGCTGGTTCAGGATGGGCACTGTGTGCCGATCTCCTCTTGCCGCTGTGGCCTCCCTAGTGCCAATGCCTCTTGGGAGCTGGCCCCTGCCCAGGTGGTGCAGCTGGACTGCCAAAACTGGTATGGCTGCAGCCCCGCCAGGGCTAAGGGAGCTTTGGGTGGAGGCACGGGGCAGGTCAGCCTTCGTTGGCATTGCTGGGGAGCAAGGGTTCTGTTCACCCTGACTGGAGCCCTTTGTGCTTACCCCTGTCCACAGCACCTGTGTCAACGGGTCCCTGGTGTGCCCACACCAGGAGTGTCCAGTCCTTGGGCCTTGGTCAGCCTGGAGCAGTTGCTCGGCCCCCTGTGGTGGGGGCACTATGGAGCGACATCGGAGCTGCGAGGGAGGTCCTGGGATGGCACCATGCCAGGCCCAGGACACGGAGCAATGGCAGGAGTGTAACCTGCAGCCCTGCCCTGGTGAGTGCCCTGGGCGGCAGGTGACTGACCCCTCCATTGCTGCCGAGCCCAGGCCCTGCCCCAGCCGTGGGGGGTAGGTGTGGGGAGAGGAGGTCGGACTCAGGGCAGCCCCCTCCCTGGGACTGGAGTTGCTGGGTCCCTCCCATCTCCCTATCTGTGTGCACCCCACAGAGTGCCCCCCTGGCCAGGTGCTTAGCGCCTGTGCCACCTCATGCCCGCGCCTCTGCTGGCATCTGCAGCCTGGTGCCATCTGTGTGCAGGGGCCCTGCCAGCCTGGCTGTGGCTGCCCTGGAGGGCAGGTGGGTATTGGGTGCTGTGTCCTGACTCCCTGTGGGGGAAGCCGGCAGGTGGGGAGGGAAGAGGCGGTGGTCTGAGTGTCACTGAACCTGCCTCGCTGCAGCTGCTGCACAATGGCACGTGCATGCCTCCCGCTGCCTGCCCCTGCACCCAGCATTCTCTGCCCTGGGGCCTCACCCTGACCCTGGAAGAGCAGGCCCAGGAGCTGCCCCCAGGGACTGTGCTCACCCGGAACTGCACCCGCTGGTGAGGGCCTGGCCCTGGGGTGGGGAGCAGGGATGAGGAAGGGTGGGGAGGAGGGCATGGGAGGCATCTGAGTGTGCTTCTGTCTTCCCAGTGTCTGCCATGGTGGAGCCTTCAGCTGTTCCCTTATTGACTGTCAGGGTGAGATGTGGCCGTCCACGCCCTCTGCACCTCCAAAGTCAAGGCCCGGGACTGGCACTGAGGAGGAGAGGAGGGCCCTGCTCACAGCCTAGACAGAGCTTCAAGAAGCCCTCCCCGTCTGTCCACACTGACCTCTCTCTAACCGGAGACCCAGCACCCCCTGC